TGCCCATGGAAAATCTCAGTGCTGCAATGCTACAGTGTTCTGGACGGTTGCCAAAACGTTGATATATGGTTACTTAGTAGTTTTTAGCACAACACTAGAGTTTTCTGGGTGGTTTTTGACTGCCTCACTTGAAAATAGTCTATCCTCATGTCTCTAGATATGGATCTGTCGTCATTCATCCTCATCTTTCATTATTTTCAACGCGAGTAGCTCAGGACAGTCCATTATGTGTTCTGCTATGTCACTGATGTCACAAGCAATGAGCAAATCAATAGACTGATAAGATGTTGGACAGAGAGATGAAACCAAGGACATGACAACCAGAAAATAAACATCTGAAACTCTTTGTCAGGCTTTTGTATTTGCAATTTATTTTTTAATCAGTCAAGCAGTTTTTGTAGAGGTCGAGCACCAAAGGTGTGTAGCAACGTATTTTCTTCCTATCATTTCTGCTGGCGGTCGAAGGCAGACAGTAGTGAAGTATTTTTACTTTACTCAAGTAAATTTAAAAAGTATCACTTTATTTCATAAATAAAAGTTGTTGTTCGTTTTACCTTTAATACTTAAGAACATTAAAAATTTAGTACTTTCTTGTACTCAAGTAAATCTTTGAATTACTTTTACTTGAGTAAAAGTAAGAAAGTAATAGATTTCTAATGTAATTAAGTATTAAATTATATTTAATATGAAACGTAGTGCAGTAAAAAGAACAATACTATGCTTTGGAATGTTGTGAAGTAAAGTTTTCTAAAGAAAAACACTCTGATAATGTACAGACACCTGAAAAGTACTTTTACAGCAGAGTAAAAAAACTTCACTACTGTCCGCCTCTGCTGGCGGTAAATCTGCGGAAGCCCAAAGATTTTATGATAAAAAGTTGTGAAATTTGGCACGCTGAAGGAGGAGCATCTCAGCTACTGTTATGCCAAATTTGGGGGTTTTATCTCAAAGCGTCTAGCATCACCATCAGCTCAAAGTTGCACCAACGTTTCTGTTTACAATGCCTGAACCATGTGATCCAGGAACATAATGCCGTTTTACCTGATTTTAAATTCAATGATAACAATGTTTTAAATTTTAAGCATCGAGATTTTTAATCATTTTGAAGTTTTCAGATGTTAGAGCGTGCATTGGATTATCCCAGAAAATGTAAAATCCGTCAAGTTGCTCACTGATTGTTGATATTCCAAACATTAACATGTAATGCATCAACAAATTTGTTTTTGCAACATTTGCCTTGAAACTAAACTAAATATGCATTGAGGGCAGTTTGAGAACAGCGCCACCTACTGAAATCAGAAAAAATACAAATTAATTTTTTTATATTTACTTTTTAATTTTTACTAAATCTAATTGATTCAATATTTTTATTGAATAAGCAAAATTAATATTTATTAAGCAAGTATATGTTGAAAATGCAATGCAAGTATGAGAGTCTGGTTTCAGATTTAATGGAGCAAAGGTAAAGCAGCGTTGTGAGATGGTGGAGGTTCCTGGTGTCTGTCTTTCTGCTGCTTGATATATTTTCTGTAATGTAATCTAGAGCCGTACGAAGGGTCGGGCTGGATAATCTTAGAGCTGAAGGAGAACTTGAGTCCTGCTACCAGCGCTCAGAAAGCACTGAGAGCGTGCAGGTTGACAGTTAAATCTCACAAATGTAAATCATTGTGTGTTGCTTGGGACAGTTTGTCGAGTATTTGAATTGCTGTTAGTGGGCAGGAGTGTGGAATGTTTCTTCCCAGTGTGGCATCTCTCTCATCATTCCTCTTGTTTCCATGACAACCACTCCCACACCGACGACTGCGCAGACGGCGATATTTTGCATGTACATGCTGCTCCAAGATACTATGTCCTAGAAGCCACGAAAATATCACGAGAGTTTGGGCCGTTTCCCAACGTGGTTCCTGGAAGCACACCAGCAGTACACATTTTGAACGTCTCTCCTATCTGAGCCGTCTATTTCAGGTCTTGGAGCCTTTACTAAAGAGCTGATGAGTTGAATCAGGTGTGTTTGATGGACGCTTTTCATATTTCCAGGGTTGTCAGAAGCAGAAGTCATCATAAACTGTGGGTAGCAGTTTGGTAAACTTTGTAAATTTTCCAATTTGGTAAACGTTCCAGTTTGCAATTTGAAAAAATAAAAAATAAAAAATCAACAATAGTTCAACAATAGATTGCATTAGTCAGAAGAGAGAAAAATGTAAAATTTGAAAATTTTCACATTTCAAAATTACATACACTCACTTAACTAGTTTTCTGAAACTGAATGCCAAGGTATAGTGTTATATAAATCTACATTAATTTTAAATGGAAATATAAAAAGCTTTGCTACACTTTAAAAATGAATGTTAAATCTAGCAAAGGGTCCATTATGAAGATTTTGAAGAGTGTACTGTAGAAAAAGGGTTGGCAACACTGGTTTAGAGTACATTTTTGTTGTTGTTGGCTCTCATTCTTATAAGAAATAGTGTCTAAATAACAAATAATTATGGGTTAATTTTTGGGGCACTGGTCGAGTGCTTATTTCAGACTCCGTCTGAAGTGTTGGTTTGTTTGAGGGTGAGATATTTGGATTTATTTTGAGGTTGAAGCAACTAGATTTTTTTTTCTGTAAAGTTTATCTGTATTTTTAGCAAATTAGTTATTTAATCTATTATACAGTACTCTGTGAGTGTGAGGTGTTGTGTTTCTGTGGAGCGTTGTGTGTTTGACCCTTGAGCCGGAGCTGCTGATTGGCTCGTGGTGTTGAGAGTGTTGAGTGTCTCCGTTTAAAGAAAGGCCTCTCGGCACAGGAAGGCTCTTTCTCCTTGAGATTGGAGCACCTGCATCAAGACAGTAAGATTGACTTTTTACTCTGACTAGCATTTTACAGTCTATAACACTTGACGACATTCAGACGCAGTCATGATGTAGGAGTTGAAAAGCCCAATGTCCATAACTTATTCTGTGTGTAGCAAGTTTTTTAAATGCATCACCTTGAATGGCTGGATTGCTTTGACTGGGATTATATGTTTGGGATGATGTGGCATGCTGGTTAAAGGATGCTGGTTAGATCTTCCCAACCCAGTGTTGCTCCAGGGTGGTTTAGCCAGTAATAAGTTCTCCACTTTGGATAAAAGCAGCTGTTAAATGGCAAGTTACAGTACTAATTCTATAAAACTCAGTATTTCAGTTGGCACTGATGGATTTTTCAATGACCAATATTGATATTTAGAGATTTGGAGTACTGCTATCTGATGTAATGATAACTTCATAATACAAGAAATCGACGGAGCACATTTTGCATAATATTTACTTAAATATTTACTGAAATTCACCAATAATTGGGAATGCAGAACCATTGGTGGCCAGTATTTCAATTGGCACTAATGGACTTTTTTTAGACATCTGGAGTGCTGCTATTGGATATAATGTTGATGTTGAACACATATTTTCAGAATCAGAATCAGAATCAGAAAGAGCTTTATTGCCAAGTATGTTTGCCAGCTGTTAAATGGCAAGTTACAGTACTAATTCTATAAAACTCAGTATTTCAGTTGGCACTGATGGATTTTTCAATGACCAATATTGATATTTAGAGATTTGGAGTACTGCTATCTGATGTAATGATAACTTCATAATACAAGAAATCGACGGAGCACATTTTGCATAATATTTACTTAAATATTTACTGAAATTCACCAATAATTGGGAATGCAGAACCATTGGTGGCCAGTATTTCAATTGGCACTAATGGACTTTTTTTAGACATCTGGAGTGCTGCTATTGGATATAATGTTGATGTTGAACACATATTTTCAGAATCAGAATCAGAATCAGAAAGAGCTTTATTGCCAAGTATGTTTGCACATACAAGGAATTTGTTATAGTGTCACAAGCTTCCAGTACACAATATTTTACACAATTGTAACCATAATATTATCAAAAAAAATTCACAGATATTTGGGAATGTAGCACACTAGTATATTGGTGGTCATTATTTATATAACATACAAAAACATTATCTGAACACATATTTTACACAATATTTACTTGACTGTTTACCAAAATTTACGAATAATTGGGAATGTGTGCTACTAGTGTATTGGTGGTCAGTATTTCATTTGGCGCTGATGGATTTTTCAATGGCCGATACTGATATCTAGAGATCTGAAGTGCTGGTATATAGATATATACTGATCTATAACTACATAATACAAAAAGATTAGCTGAATATGTATTTTGTGCAATATTTACGTGAATATTTACCAAAATTCACCAATAATTGGGAATATATCCCACTAGTATATTGGTGGTCAGTATTTCAATCAGCGTTGATGGATTTTTCAATAGCTGATATTGATATCTAGATGTCTTGAGTGATGATATTGGATATAATGTTGATTTATAACTACATGATACAAACAAATTAGCTGAATACATATTTTCCACAATACTTATTTAAATTTCTTTCAAAATTCACCAATAATTTCATTTGTTGGTAAATTTTTGGCACTTCAATGGTTGATATTGATATCTGGATATATTACTATAACTACATAATACAAAAAAAATGAACATGTAATTTACTCAATATATATTTGACAAAATATCCCAATAATTGGGAATGTAGCATGTCTTTTAATCTGTCAGGTGGACTGCCAGTAGGATTTCTGATCTGAGTTGAATGAAGTTTCGTTTCGTCTCTGGGTTTTTGATCAGTAACCTCGGAGTGTGTGTCCGTATGTGTGTTTGCACACACCTCAGAAGCGTATGCAGATTGGCGACTGCTGGTTGGCGTCCCAGAGTGAGTCTTCAATATCTGTGTCCGTGAGGCCAAGCAACCCCAGATTCTTGCCCCAGTGCAAACAGAAGTTGATGCAACACGTCGCCTTATCTCGAACTCATTTCTGGAAGCCCGTGTGCCCTTCAGTGATGCAGGTGGAGGCGAGTGGGGGCGGAGCTTCGCTCTGAGTGGTTGACAATAGGAGCGTTCCAGTTGGATGACGTGGGCCCTCCCAATGCTCTTTAAAGCTTCCACTCACCTCCAGGGCTAAAAACGAAGCTCATCCTTGATCTGTGAGCACATCTAGTGTCCTGCGTGTTACCGGCTTTCATTGTGAGTAACCAAACCACCATTAATACATTATAAGCTTGACTTGAATAAGGAGATCTGTGGGTTTTGCGTTTGGTTGCTCAGTGTTGGTGCTTTAGTGCATGTGTGTGTGTGTGGTCTGCGTCCAGCCGACAGATTGAAGAATGCTGGTTCAAGCACAAACACAGACATTCCCTTTGAAGAGCGAGTGTTTCTCGTCGTAAAACACTCAGGTCAGCTCCAGCTGCTTGGAGACATTCATGACGACAGCACAACTAACTTAGACCGGTTTAAGGCCAGTCCACACAGGTTTCACTCGAACTGCATGTTAACAGTTTGGTTTTGATGGTTTTATTTTGTCGTTTCTCCAAAATGCATGAGATGCATGAGATTACAGGAGAAATGTCTGAGATGCTGAGGTTCTCCATTTGATGTCTTTGCTGTCACGGACAAACGATTGAGGCATTTCATCTACTGTTTTTCTAGTTCTGCTTTGGGTCGTAAATCCAAATAAGTTTTGTTGGGTTGAGAGCTGCTGCAAATATGTGATTTGAGACTGACAGATCTCGGCGTTTCTCAGTGTGTACTGGAGTTAAAGGTGTGGTCATATTTCATTAACAGTGTCTGTTTGGGTCTTTTGCAACAGACTTGTCTCCTCTTTGCTGGTTAGGCTGGTTTTACAAGGCTGGAGTTTGTTCTTAGACTTGATTTCTTTCAGCTGAAGTCACATGTTTAAATGCTTAGTTCAGACTAATGAATCAGAAACTTCTGTCATGCTGCACTCTCAGAAAAAAAGGTACAAAAGCTGTTACTGAAATGTACCCTTTTAAAGGATACTAATTTGTACAATATAGGTACTAATATGTACTTTTTAGGTGATAACATGTATCTTTAAGATACTAATATGCACCCTTTAGGAGTAAAAAAAGGTCCAAAATGTGCCTTTTTAAAAGGTTTTGCCCCAGTCACAGCTTTTGTACCTTTTTTTCTGAGAGTGTATGAGTCATGGTAACATTATTTACATTTATTCATATAGGATCAGATCTAAAGGTACTTACAGTCGAGGAATATGTAATATATATTAACAAATAGTTTTGTTTTTGCTGTAAATGTTAAAAAATGTAAACAATTATGTGGCATTGCCTATTTTTGATAATCCAGTAATTGAAATACTTAAATAAACAGTGCACTGAAAAAATTGGAATAAAACAATTGCTAGTAAATTCAAAGAAAGGGCAAATACGTTGAATTAAACTTGAAACATACTCCAACTCATGCATAGCTGTAAAATCATTCTATATTAATGCATTGAGTTGCTTGTCAATCATAAACAGCCAGATTAATGAATTACTTGGCAGAAGTGTTTATTCTGATTTGTATTATTATTCAATGAAACATTGGTGTGTTTTGACGTATTGCTGTTGTTCTCTAGAAGCAGTAACTGTCTGAATGTCTAACAGTCCAGCCGTAGCATGAATGCACACAGTAAAAACAGTTTACTCTCTGTAAAACTGTTCTCTGGTGTGAATCCAGTAAATGCACCACATCTGCGTTCATTCTCAGTCCTGTGCAATATTTCCATGAGTCTATAGTTTCTCTGGTTTCTCTGGCCGCGTTTATGAATCCTATCAATGAGGGCTTTGTGTCGGTGAAGAGGAGCATTGTGGGTAATTGGGTGTAAGAATTGTTTGGCGGTGTTTTGGCTTATTAACTGGCTCATCGGAGTCTTATGTAATGTTCTCCGTCCTGCTGGACGCTCAGGAAATGGTTTTCAGGACGGTTTGTGCCTTGCATGGGCTGGAAATAGCTGACCTGAGGCCAGTGTGCGGTGTGCGCTCGTAGCAGGTGTGTGCCGGCGCACGGCTGATTCCAGAGCTAGTGCGTCATGGAGCGGATCAGACACAGATACATGAGTCCTCAACCTAAACACTGAACAACACAGCCTTTATGTGGACCTGGAGCAAAACACGGAGTCCTACAGCAGCACTCAGCAGGGAATAAACGCTGAATCCAGCAATAGTGACGTGTGTGATTTGTAATGATAACATATCACTGGCGCTGTCTGCTAAACCGTGTTAGTGGTTAAAGATCTGAGCTGCTAACTAAAGACGCTAGGTTCAAGCCAATGTTATTTTAGTATCATTGACATACTATATTATAGTTTTTATTAGTATATTTTCTGTTTTTATTTTAATGTTTTATTTTTATGTTTACATGTATGAATTTCGTTTTTGTTTCAGTATTTGTTTATTTTAGTACCATTTTATTATCACCTGAGAATGAGAAATGTTGCCTGGGCAACTAACTGAAATAAAATATATATTTTTTTGTTTTTCATTGTATTTTATTTCAGTTAAAGTCTATTTTATTTCAAGTACCAAAAAAAAAAAAAGATTTTCATTTTTTAGTTTTAGTCATAATAGCCCATGAAAAGGTCAGTTTTTGTACTACTATTATTTACTGTGTATTTTTCAGGGTTATTGTGCTGTAGTGAACCGTACTATAAATTGTCTAAAAGAGTATCTTATACATAAAAAGTAATGTTATTATGTCTCTGAAATTATTCGAGCAATTGTTGATTTTAGCTAATAGAGGTTGTTAATATACAGTATATAAAAAATGTGAAAACTTAAAATTTCTAAATTAAAATAATTGGATGAACTGAATCTAAAAATAACAATTATGGAATGAAAACTGAAATAAAATAAATAAAAAGTGGACTAATAAATTTATATAAATTAAAAAAATTTATATAAAATATTAAAACTAAGTAAAATAAAAAATATTGAAAATAAAATTATATAATATTATATAGATAATACAATATATAATATCATATTATATTGAATAAATTAATATATAATAAAAAAATAAAAAATAAAAAAAATGATTAACCTTGTGGCTGATAATAGATCAGTGTTTCTCTCTCTCTATTAATGTGCAGTTAACTTGTTAGCTCAAACTAGGTTAGGGTAGGGTCGAACTAGAGACTTTCTGAGGCTGAAAATAGAAACTGATACAGACAGAAGAACTAGATGATCTTTTATGAACCATCAGCATGTTGGAGCCATGGCTTATCAGTTATTGAGCTCATGCAAGCTCAAATCTGGCTTGTAGCATTCCTTGATCTTGTTTCGTCCATCGCTCATGCCAAATGCACTGTCTATTTTGCCATATTTGGAAGATGTTTTGCATTAAAGGTCCCTCGTAGGTGCTGTGGTGCCTCAACAGACCGCTGTAGATGGAGGGTGACGTCGATCTGTGTGCGTTGTCCATGGGCGAAAGATCATGTTGCTGGTGGCCCTTGAAACTGGTGGGCAAAGAACCAGCAAAATGTCAATAATGTAGCACTAACTTGTCTGTCAGACAGATGTTTTTGCCCAGATTTTATTGTCATTAGACAACGACAAGGATGGACCCAGAAATGCATCGCTTGTTGAATGTTGAATCAGCCAATATGGCAATACATTTAAATACAAGCATTCAACCAACCTTGAAATTGGTGGAAAACAGCAGGCCAGGCCAGATTTGTTTTGTGTTGAGGTTATATCGATTGATTTATCACAACATGATCAGAGTCTCAGTCAATACATTTGATGTTGATATGTTGACTTGCTTTAGCAGGAGCGGTTCAGGGTCACTTTGCACGAACGTAAGAATAGTTAACCTGCCAGAATTTGGATACATGAACTCATTCTTTATGATTAAAAAAAGTCATAAGTCATGAAGACACTGGGAATGATGTATTGATCTTATATATGAGCTGCTCCTTGGTGTCGATTCCAGCCTTAACCATATTTCTCTGGTGCTTCTTCCAGTTCTTTTCCCAAAGACGAAATCCTCTGCTGTAAACATGGACCGTCTGGAGCTGAAGAAAGTGAGCATGGAGGCGGACGATGAAAGCAGCGTGGACGATCGCTTCACACCCATCGATTCAGAGAAGGCCAGGTCAGAGTCACTGCTGTGTGTGTTTCACCCTGACGCTGTTTGATGTCCACATGCAGAACATTGTGACGCATAGTTTGATGGGAAATGTGGACATATGCTGACATATTCACGCATCGATTCATCATGTAACTGCAGACAAGCAGAACCTGTGAAATGCCTTAACAAGGTGTCTGAATTCACGTGTTCGTACTGTCGCTTACAGCCAGTTTCTGGATGAGGACGACGCAGAGAGTCAGAAGTTTCTCACCAATGGCATCATGAAGAAGAAGAAATATGATGAAGAAGAATATGTAAGATTCTTTTTCTGAAACTCATTAGCATATTCATACTCTCTCTCTCTCTCTCTGTTGATTAACCCTCTCTCTCTTGGTCTTTCAGCACCCGGGTCACACGTCGTTTGGGATGTCCGTCTTTAACCTCAGTAACGCCATCATGGGCAGTGGAATTCTGGGTCTGTCCTTCGCCATGGCCAACACCGGCATCATACTGTTTGTGTGAGTATTTGGATAAAGTATAAAGTGGGAGGAGCATGATATAGAACTTATCAGCATGGCTCATGAATATTAATGATGTGCCAGAACTTTCAGCCAATCCTAATCCTGGTTCTTGAAATGCATATGTTGGAAAGTAGGCGCTAGTCATATTAATATTGTGTCTTAGCTTCTTTCTCAACTAAATATTTAGTGTAATTAATTAAATTAGGTTATTTTATTATTTGTGTATAAATTTAATGCAGTCACCCTAATTGAGATCCTCATTGTTTTTTTGCCATTTTTGTTTTGTTGCTTAAAATAAATATAATACAAATTTAAAAATAAATAAAAATACATATAATAATTATAATAATAAAAAAAATAATATATATATATATATATATATATATATATATTTGAATTTAAATTTAGTATTTAGTTAGGCCGCAGCAAGCATTAAAACTTGAAACCATAAATGAATGAATGAATGTATAGTCAATTATATTTATTTTTACTGTCATGGCATAAAAAAAAGAAGAGAAGTTTAAATTTTACATTTTTAAATTACCCAAAACTGAAATAAAAATGAATAAAAACTATATAGACATATTTAAAAAAAAAA